AGCTTACTTTCCATTCTCCCCAATTGCCTTTCCGACACAGACCTGGTACAAAGCAAGCCACCAATTGACAATATCTTGGCCTGCAAAACCGTGCTACTTGGCACCTCTTTGGCGTATACTGATGGCCAAAAACGACTGAAGGCATTGGTTCCTATCAGACAATATATGCAGAAAACACACCCCCCTACGGCTCGTATTGTTCAACCTCTTCGTCGATACTTCCAGGAACCTCTTGAGGTCTATGAGACATATCATGGAACTGTTTCAAATCCAGGGACGGTGGCTCGAATAACATCCAACTTTGCCAACATCCACAATATTCTGCTAAGCGGTTTAAACCGAGATAACCCTGACTTCCTGAACACAATCTACTGCACATGTCACTTTGACCATTTCAGTTTTCTGGCTGGACGTGGTTACAGTCCAATAATAGAGCTGATTCCCGATCTTCTGCCTCATCCTAGAAACCATAGATTGGAGGTGTACTTCAACATACGTCTCCTAGTAACCACATATCGTCCCACTCCCCGAGCCCAACATATCGTGGACCAAGCTCTTGAATCTTTTCCATACTTTGATGATCCAGATCTCAAATGTTGGTCATGTCAATTATCAGTTTGACTTGGTTACTAATACGTCTCAACCAGGCAGATATTATGATGTCCTAGCCATATATTTTTGTGATCACAAGACCCCTGATACTCCAAGAGCTATCAACCTTGCCCTAACGGGACTATCATTGGCAATTTCCACTGGGAAAATCAGACGGCAGTCCGATATCTTATCCACCTTGGCATTGTTAAAATGGACAACTGGTGATTATTCAGGAGGCCAGGAGCATGCATATGAGTCTCAGAGGCTAGCAAAGATCTCAGGAAACTCATACAAAGAAGCTTGGGCATTGAACATGGAAGCAATGTGCTGGTATAGTCTTGGCAACTATAAGGACAACATCCCGCTGTGCAAAAGGGCAAGGGATCTACTCCATTTTTGTGGCATGTCTGGTGGAAGACTAGATCATTACATCATGGGCTCCCAAGCAGAAATTCACCAGTTGAAATCTGAGTATCTTGAGGCCCGCAACATCCGGACTCAAATATTGGACAATTGTTCCATTGAGCAAAATCCACAACAGCATGTCACCACTCTCATCAGCATTGCCCAGATTGATGTTGAAATTGGTGTATCCAAGCATGAATTGCACAAAAATATGGATGTAGTCAACCAGCTCTCTGAAAGCATAGGATATCCAATGGGAACCATCTGGTGCGATATTGTCAAAGCAACTCTGGATGTGCAAGAAGGAGACTTAAATCATCGGAGGCCCCTAACATCCCGTATTACCTCCTGGGGGCAACTGGTGGTCAACAACCAAAGCAAATGACATAATCACGCCTCTCGGTCAATTTCTGGCTTGCAATCCTTGCAATAGGCTGCCATTGCCATAGGATGTTGTAGGACTGAAGAAGCTCTCAAACTGAACGTTGATGACCTCAAGCTTATCCCTCTGCTCCAACAACTTCCCTCTCTCCGAACATTAGATCTATGCCATTGCGCCGACGATGCACTGTTCAAGATATTCACGTACGACCCCCGGGAGCCTGTTCCCTCGTTCGCCCTCCCCCACCTGACATCGCTAACCATCATCGACTACACCTCACATCTAGATGGTCGAATTATCGCCGATATGGTCGAGTCCGTGTGCGCACACGCCGGGGGTCAGAATCTTGCCTTCCCCGCACTCGCGACCGTGGAGCTGGAGCTGGATGGTCGCAGTTTCAGCGAGGACGTCGAGTATCGCATCGCAGCAGCCTCCGGTGCAGGTTTCGTCAAAGATCGCGGCGAGCGATATCAATATATTGGACACTGATATGTCGGTGCGCTCAAGCTCAGCGGTGTCAATGGTATCTCATTCAGCAGTAGCAATTGCGTCCCCGGACCCGCTTCATCGCGCAGTCATTCTCAAGATCAAATATAACCAAAGTCATCCGCCATTGACCTTCGCGCAGGAGTCCCTCATCGGGTCCCACAGCAGCACTCTTAATACATCTCCATCGTTCATACATCTATGGACTTCCTTCTGGTTGTGCCTCACCAGTACGCCGTCCTGAGAATGCGATGTAAGTTTGAGCTGTTGTGAAACGGTGCGCGCAGGCTCAGTTTGACGCCTTTCGACCCCAATCCCGATTTCCACAATCGAAGCGAATTAATCAGCCGCGCTGCTGCTTACTGAGGCCGTCAGTCACCGTTGAACTCCCTAGAACTCCCTAGCGAGCCTTGTCAACTAACGATTATCAGCAGTAAGCAGCCGCAGAATTGGAAAACTAAACTCACTGTTATCCATCCAAAACGCCCGTGTTCTCTTTCAATCATATTCTTGCAGGTCAGAGACACGCTATCATCGCCTGCCAGTCGCAATCGCGCCTTCGCCTGCGTAGACTCCTCGCGGCCAATCAAATTTTAGAAAGCGAAAGGCGGGAAAACACCGGTGGGGTCAATTTCAGATATACGTTACAGGTGTGGTTCTGGAAGACGCGGATGACGAGGTGCAGCCTGCGCACACGCCGCTCCTCTACCCGCACCGCGCGCTCCACGAGTACGGGCACGAGCCGTCGTCTTGCACCATCTCCATCTCCATCGCGTCCCGAGCGTCTTCGTGCCCGCTCCCCGCCCCTTCCCTCCTGACTCGTCAACTGTGCGTGCGCGTTTGCGTGTGCAGCGTGGCAGGAAGAGAGGCGGGCCTGACGGGGTGTTGCCATGGCCGCTCCGATTCGCCGCGAGTGCTCCAAAGGTACGCGCCCCTCGTCTCCTCCTCTACCCAGGCCCTCCAAGCGCTCCAATCGCGCACGCCTCCTCGTCTTCTCGAGCGGGGGCGCGTACACAGCCGCGCGCCGGCATTCGTGCACATCGACTGTATGGAGTCTACGAATCAGTCAGCAAACGCCACAAGCCAAGACGCACGACGTACGAAGGACGAAGACGTACCCGTCGGCGACTCTCCTTCCTCTTACGCGCGCGCCGCCTCGCAAGGTGTCGTCGTGCTCTCCACGTCTCCCTCGCGCCTACGCACCGCGTCGACCCGAGGTGTGAAGGCTTTGCGTGCGTGTGTACGCGGAGCCGCAGGAAGAGCTCCAGAGGCATACGCGCCGCGCTCCGCGCTGCGTGTCCTCCTCGCCCGCCCCTGCGCTGTGTCCCGCGAACGCGTCTTTTCGAGCACAGGCAGCGGGGTAGGGTGCACTGCGCCGTGCGCGCTAATCGAGCCGCGGACAAGAACGATAATCGCGTTAGTAGCCTAGTCCCGAAATCAGTCAGCGGAACGACTCAAGACACATGATGGTGGTGGATACACACCTGCGCCGTGAGCGTGGTATGCCTGCACCCTATGCATACGCCCTCCCGCGTCCTCCTCCGCAGGCGCTTCTCCATTTCGCCTTGTCTCTTCCTCCTCGCCTGCGTCTGCATGATCGCCTGCAGCTGCGCCACAGCCCCTGGGGCGCCAGGACGGACGCGCCGACGTGCTGCTAGCGATCGCGCAATCAGGATTGAGCAGAAGCGCACGCCCTGGTGGAGGGTACGCACCGTGCAGAGTAGATACATAGAATACACCTCGAGTTGGCCCCACTGCCTCATCCAGGCGCCGTCCGTGAGGGCTCCTCGTCCGAGGCGCGCCCTGGGGCGCATCAGTAGAGCGATGGAGACGGATACTCCTGGGGAATAGCACACAAATCAGCTACGAAACGCGCGGAGGAGGTATGCATACAGCACGAACCCGTCTCGTGCATCTGCACCGGCGCTTCCCCCGTACGATGCGCGCATCAGGATGCGGGACATGCACGCGCCGGGCGGGACGCAGCTCGGCCCAGTCATGCGTGCCCGTCCTCCACAGCAGGCGCGGTGGATCTGAGACGCCAATCAGGGGAGATACAAGACGCGTAACGTAGAGGATGGCGCACCTGCAGGCAGCTAGTCCTGCTGGGAGTGGGAGGCGGGCGGGGGCGAGGCTGGTACCTGTTAATAAGTGGAAGGAAAAGACGCCCGCGGAGGAGGATACGTACACCCGAATCCAGGACCGCATCGTCGGTGCATGCCCTCCTGCGCTTCATCCTGCGCGTCTGTGCGTTCGTTCCCCGGAGGCCAGAGAGAATGATTGCGGGAAGCGTGGATGTAGTCTTCATGCTGGAATACTAGGGATGAATTAGATCTGAAGCGAAGGGAAGATGTGCAGGGCGAGAGGAAGGTACGGACGTGCAGTGCCGCGGCGCGGGTGCCCGCCCGCCTATCTTGCGTACGTCGATGGCAGCGCGGGATTACGTGCCCCCTCGACCGCCTAGTCTTGTCCCGTCTTGTGATACCGATGGAGCTAGGGGTGTAGCGGCGCGCGGACCCAGCGAGGGTGGGCGCGACGGGCTTCAAGAGAGTCCTCGCGATTTTGAAAAGACAAAGGGCGCTGCACTGCGAAGAGGATAGCGGTCTGGTCTCCAAGGGGTTTCGCAGATTCGCGTGTATTCGGCGCTGGGATGCTCAGCTGGCTTCAGAATTTGGGAGAAGATAGCGTTGAGGACGTGAAGTTTACGGCTTAGCACAGCCTTCGGGCTTCGGTCCGACGGGATTGCTTCGGCCTTCTTGCCTCTTGCCAATACCAACCTCCTGCTTTCACCTTGTGCAAGCCGTCTTACGAGCCATCCACGCTCTGAAACTGCTATGTACTTATCTTGGTCCGACGCTCATTGCCTTATTATCTTATCCGAAGAGAGAATGCAATCGAAATGCCGTCCGCAAGGCTGCTTCAGGAGCCTCACCGGGCTGAATCATTCGTCCTCGTCAAAGCCCTCCATTTTCGTCCGCAAGCCCAGTAATCTCCCTCTCTGGCCGCGCACCGCCGCCCCATCAAGGTCCGACGCTTTTTTTTTTTTTGCAACTGCGTGATATTTCCTGGTACTGTCTTTTGGAGCCTGCTGTGGAAGATGCCCACCTAACCACCTCCGCAGACAGATAAATCATCGGGCATGGTGTACGGTACACGGCCTCTCCTGCTAAGGATATTTAGACGCTCGACGAGGCAGCCCGGGGTTCGACTCCCTGTGTCCGAATATTTGTTTCTCTGCTTTTTATACACCGCAGGGAAATATTACCACCTCCGCAGGTGGATAAATCATCGGGCATGGTGTACGGTCCACCGCCTCCTCTCCTATCATGGAATCCTTCTCCCGTTCATAAGTTGCGCGAGGCAGATCGGGGTTCGACTCCCCGTCTCCGAATACTGGGTTCTTGTCTGCTTTTTATACACCGCAGAGAAATAATATTGCTCATCTATCCACCTCCGCAGGTGGATAAATTATGTACGGCGCACAGCCTCTCTCCCTCAGCGGGACCCATCACAGAAAGCATGAGGCAGCCCGGGGTTCGACTCCCCGTGTCCGATATTACCGTGCTTCAGCTTTCTTTTTAAACTTCAACCTGCGCCGAAATGCTCACCTATCCAAATTCGCAGATCCAGGAATAATCAGACATGGTGTACGGTACACCGCCTCCTCTCTTGTTATTGTCGACACGAAGTTGTGCGAGGCAGCCCGGGGTTCGACTCCCCGTGTCCGAATGTCATGTCTCTTATGTACTTTTTGAACTCACTGAAATGTGACTCATCCACCTTGTCAGATCCATAAATCATCGGGCATGGTGTACGGTACACCGCCTCCTCTCCTCATGTTGAGGGTGAAGACGTTGTACGAGGCAGATCGGGGTTCGACTCCCCGTGTCCGAATATTCATCCCCGCCTCCGTTTTTTGTTCTTTGAATCCACTGCGCAATATCGCTCACATATCCGCCTCCACAGGTACAGAAAGCATCAGACATGGTATATGGTGTACGGCCTCCTCCTCTCTTGGCATCGTCGACACAAATTTGTGCGAGGCAGATCGGTACAGCCATGGGCACTGCATGCGCACCAACGTATGCTAACCTATTCTTGGCACCGTACGAGGCACCCGTGCTTGAAGAGCTTCAAGATATTATCTTGCTATACCGACGGTTCATTGATGATACATTTGCGATCATCCATGGTTCGTGAGATGATGTCGAGAAATTCACGACGCGTTTCGGCACCCTCCACCCGAACATGAAGTTCGAATGGTCGGTATCGAAGCTTCAACTCCCTTTCCTAGACGTGCTCGTATCCCTCGATGTGAATCCTGGGATAGTTGCAACCGTCCCCCAATTTAGATTGGTCACGGCAGTCTATCAGAAAGCGTTGAACACGTACCTCTACATACCCTGGAACTCCTGCCACTCTGAAGACTCCAAGCGCGCTTGGGTTAAGGGGGAACTTATCCGATATGTACGGATTTGTTCAAACGAGTCTGACTTCGCAAAAATCCGCACGGATTTCATGATTCGACTACGTGAGCGCGGCTATCCAGGATGTTGGCTGCAACATGTTTTTGATGAAATAAAGTAAAAGGTCGAGCGCCTAACAGCACTCAAACCCACTGTGAATAAACCTGCGACTGGGGACCCCGCACTTCACGTCCTCAAGCTCACCCATAATCCAGTGTGGGACACCATTAATTTGAACCCACTCTGGCGCAAGTTGAATGAGACATGGGAGGAATTCGGGCCTGGCTACCCAGAATTTCGCTTCATGGCCTCCTTTGAAAAGCCTCCCGCGCTGGGTGACAGGTTGAATACCACCAACCGAAACACGTTGACCACATACCATGAATCAATAGCGGCACCTGTTTAAATCTCTTTTTTCTCAATCTTCAGTCACGTGCCGCCCGGGACCCTGCGGGCCCCGGACCCGGCGACGCGCTCCTTTGGATTTCGAAAAAATTAGGAGACTAATCATGTGTCCCCTGTTAATAACAAATTAGACTTGCCTGCAGAATCATTGAGCCGAGGCTTACCTCTTTCCGGATCCGCCCGGGATCTTCACAGACGCGTTTGATAGCCAGCGGCATTTCCTGAAATGTTCGCGTTGATCACACTCGGTAACTCCTCGCGTATGCTAGCGCGAGGAAATTCAAGTGACATCGTGAAAAACAAGGCTTTGTGAGGAAACGTTGAGACCTTCACCGGACTCCGGGAACCTCGCATCGGCGCGTTTATTTATCACTAGCGTGATCAAAAAACATTGATTAGGTATAAATAGGGATCCGCCACCTGATGAGTCCTTTGACGAAACGTTGCCAAAATGTAGTGGCCCCGTCTACTCTCGCTCTCTCTCATCCACCGGCCCCATACTCGCTCGGCGCTTCGCGCCTCACTCGCTCCGGCAGATCGGGTTCGACTCCCCGTGTCCGAATGACGGGTCTTCTTGAGCTTCCTTTATCATGGGTCGCGGGAATTCCTCAGCTTACCACCTTCGCAGGGACATCAAGGACTCGGATATGGTGTACGGAACACCGCCTCCTGTCTTTCAGATTTGGACTAGATGTCCCAGGCAGATCGGGGTTCGACTCCCCGTGTCCGACTGATTGTTAGCTTTCAATTGCTTTTTGGGTCCGGAGTTGTCCTGATGCGCATCGAATCCGGCTCTTACCCTCCGTTGCTTACTCAGTAGCGGTCGAAGTAGTCCGCCCACGCTGCATGCGGACCTGGGAACTCGCTCTCCCACCGATCCAAACGCAAGTCGACAATCAATTCAGGTAGATCCAGGGCGAAACTTGCAATGAATAAGATGACTTCACCTTCAGTTGATTTTAGACGTTCAATAAATGTGTGTTTCGAGTCTCCGAGGCGTAGCGAAGTGTTTGAAAAATGTGGAGTTCGATATGTATCTGTTGGCAGTGCTGCATCTCGCGCAATGCGTGCAAGTAGCGTGGTCCGCCCGTGCCTGGGAAAAAGACTGGAGCTGGATGAGGAACACAATTTCAACCAGTGACTCTGTATTGAGAAAATTGAGAGCGAATCTCCCCCTGTGGTGGATTGGTGCCGGCTGGCCCGGGGTGGCACTAGTCAACATTGTGAGCTTATGCTATTTCTGTCCAATGGAGATATTTATCCACATGGCCCCAGTTCACTTGTATCTCAGCTCCCGAGGGGCGGATCCCATTGAACACTTGAACAATCTGGAAACTTGAGCCTTTCCTACACAGCAATATTTATTCTGGCATCCACACATGTACCCAGGACCTTTGCATTTCAGCTGGACTTTCGTGGCCGGTGCAGAGTGTAACCAACTACTCTTTAAATAAATGATTCCACGGTGTGGAATGGGATCAGCATGCCTTGGGTAAAAGTGGCGGCCGGGGAGGGGTCAACGAAGGATAAGTTGATGCCCAGCCTGTGCATGTGCCGAATAATCCAGAAGATCATGATTTCCATCGCCTCCATTTCAACACAGCTACAGTATAGGCTCCCGCTGAATGAATGGGTGAAGAATATGTCTCGAGTATCCCTTAACTAGGATCTCACGATGCCTGTAGAGGAATAGATTGATTCCTTGGCGCTTGGTCATCTTCCAGTAAGATCGCTTGTGCGGCTGTGTACTTCAACCAGATGCATCACGCTGATGTTAAAAGCACCTCGCCTTAGACAGTTGAGCTCAATGGACATTCCTCCATGCTTCAAAATAAATGCATAGGCGAAACGTCTCATCCGGACGAGCCCAGTGTGCGGTTGATTCCTGATAATATCAGAAATCAGCCGCACAACTGCCTTTGGTACCTTCGGTGGGACTGGAATGTGCATAGACCTCGTCAAGCTGCACTATGCTGCGCGATCTTGGAGTGATGAACAAAGACGCTGGCTATGAAATTTCTCATGGAACCTGGTATAAGGAATGGCTCCTCACAGTGGCCAGTGTCATCACCACAATCATGCCCCTTCAGCCCACCGCTGCACAAATTCGCTTCCACAGTATTGTTTCATCCTTAAGCAGTGCAGTCGCCACTTTGGACATGGTTTCTGCAAGCTTCAAGACATCTTTGGAACCAACTTCAAACACCATGCACTCACTGTTGACTGCTGTCCAGGTAAATGTGTACATAAATCTATCTTCTACGGCTCTTACAGACTTTGGATAGACCGTGAAGAGGAACAAGGATGATTGTAGCTAGATGCTTCAAAAAATTCATGGGCTCCTCTATGCTATCATCCGTGTTCATATCCAATCTGACACAGGTGACGAATTACCACCAGACACAATGCACCATTTGGGGAAATTCACTGAGCAAGTTTTTTCCTCTCCCATTCTCACATTCTTGACATGCACTTTCTGTAGGACCATCCACAAGATACACACATATGTTGAAGCTCAACAGGAGAAAAGCAAACTCAAGCAGTTTTTTTTGTCAAGGTTAAATGAAGGCATTGCTAAAGGCTTGTCACATGGGGCTGGAGCAAGCACTCGAGGCATTCAAGGTAAGTTCACTGTTGCTGTTAGCTCTCGATTTCAATGAAGATACCTCAGATCCAGGGTGTCACCCTTCTCAGGGATATTACGAAAATGCAAGAGCATGCGCAAAAGGCATACGAGGAAGTGCCAGATATGACCAGCATCGTGACACTACATCAAACATCATTCAACTTGCTGGCCTGATTGGAGCCCATGTTGGCCTAACCCAGGGAACGAATCTCACACAACCTGTTGCCCATCCTTTCACCCGCAGCCCCCCATCACTTCTGATTTTGGATAATCTGGAGACAATTTGGGGTTCTGGGACCCAAGAGAGTCTCGTGTAGAACTTGAAAGGTTCTCAGCCTGGCTTGCTGATCTTGATCATCTGGCCCTGATTGTAAGCAGACAAACAAACCATTGCTCCTCAGATACTGATAGTATTTAACATCAAGATCACCATGCGTGGAGCTGAAAGGCCTGCTAATATCCGCTGGACTCACCCCTTTTTGGAGCCATTGAAGCCTCTGACACTGGATGCTGCGTGCCAGACCTTTATTGATATTGCAGACAATGGTCATACTCTTGGGGAGATTGACAAAATTCTGCAATATTGTGAAGGCAGGAGAGCTTTGGAAAACAGCACAACCATTTTTCAAACAGTCATCACAGCAGAAGCAAATCACTCATATTGATGAGATGCGTGCTGGGATAGTTCAGAGACCCAAGCTGTTGCACTGTTGCAGGCCTACATGCTATGATGCCGACTGCAATCCCCGAAAAGGTATACGTACATAGTGTCACGTAACAATGTTGAAGGTGTGGAGAGTGTGGGCGTGGATCATGGTCCAGATCTAACTTTTGGTTTCCCGTCTGATTGTGTCAACATGTTGACCTTATTTATATTTATTTGATGTCATGTTTCTACTGCTGTATAGTTTATTAGCCTCCATGAACACTTTGTATAAGGGTGAATCTATAGAATCATCCACCGTTTGACTCAGACAACCTGATGAGCTCTTGTTATGAGCTTCTGTCACTTGTCTGTCACCTGTCTCTATGGCGGTCGGAATTGGGTCGGAGTGCACTTTTATTATTTCAGTATATATTCCGAGTCATGTAGTTGAGGCAAGAGGGTTTGAAAACCCGAAAAATGCACTAGGGGTCGGTTTTTTTCTTCTCAGAGGGTCGGGGGTACTCCCCCCCCTACGTAAGCGATTTGTAAGCGATTTGTAAGCAGCACGTGGGCTCCGCTTAGGCAAAAACGCACCAGAGTCCGCACTTTTAGCATCTGTGCCATTTAAATCATCCTGAGCACTCTTTGGTTGGTTTTCCAGAGCAGCAATACATGTTGACACTCAAAAGACTCATTGGCGGAAAGCGCCGAGATCAATACACGTGATGATTTTCCTTCTGCCGAGTGGCTG